AACTGAGATAACAGGTGCATCATTTTCTGGCATGATGCAGTCGGGTGGCCACAAATGTTCTCATTCCCTGTAACACTGATATCAATCAACCGCCTGCAAAATGTACTGAACACCTGCGTAAGAGATTGGTAAGACAAATTTCCTTTCTTGAAGTTGATCATGTGTTCTCCGCAGAGCTTGCTAGCAATAAAAGGTGTTGAGATTAAGGAGCACGTTGCCTTGCTTATCGTTTTCAGGAACTCACGTCCACCATTCGGAGGCAGCGGGAGCAGGAATGCAATATGCGCCCACACATCGACACCCCTGAAGCCGACGACCTCGAATCGACGATCAAACTGCGCTGTGCGCGCCAGGGCGTCTAGTGCGGGACATGATCGAGATACGGTGGCAACAAACATGCTGGGATACAGCTCCTCGCCGTGCAACACCTTGCGCATGAAGGGACTGCAGCACTCCAAGTTGCACGCGTCAAACGAATCCAGTACAAAGCCCAGGCAGCCGGGATTCTGCTCGATGAAGAGCAGCGTGTTTTTCATCTCCTCGCGGTCCAGGTCGACGTACTGCATGAGAAGCGCCTCGAGCGACTCAAGCAGCCAGTTGTCAACGTCGGCCAGGTCAAGACAGATGAGCAAGTGCACATTGGTCAGCATACGGCCTCTCGCCCACTCGTACGGCAGTTTTTTGAACAGCGCACACGTCTTGCCCATGCCACCGCTGCCCTTAAAGAGAAACGTCCGCGGATCGCGCTGGGCATCGTCACAGCCAATGCGTGACCTATCGCCGGGCAGACGCGCTGAGAACACGTCTTGCAGCTTGTACGTCTTCATGTCGTCGCAGGCGAAGATGTGCTCCAGATTGAACACGTTCTGTGCCATTCTACCGACCTGGCACTTGCGGTTGAAGTGCTCCAGGGTGCTGGAACACAGGGCAAAGCTGACGTCGACATAGGATGTTTCCATGTTCGCCACTGAATCCTCCAGCCTCTGCAGGATCTCCCCGTTCTTGGAAATGTCTTCCACTGTGTCAAACATGCCGGCGCCCAGCGGCAGCCTGCAGGACTCGTACTCATGTTGCAGGCCGGCCTTGGCCTGGGATATGTAAGCGGGCAGCTGGCCTGCGGATGAGGCTTCTGCCGCTTCAGCTGGCAGTGGCATGGGTGGCAGCTCTGGAGAGTCAGGCGTATGGGCATGGCAGGGAACTAGCGGAGGCAGGCTACTCATGCAGTGCTGCCGCATTTCATCACTGCGATGTCCCGTCGTAACGTTAGTCGTAGTGGCCAGTGGACTCACACTGGCTGACGCAGATTCGCATGGTCCACTGGATTCTCGCACTGGACTTCTACTGTGAACACGCCCGCGCGCCTCCTCCAGCATGTGTTCACTCACTGATGCTTGTTCCGCTCGCTGGCCACGACCAGTATTGGGAGTTAGTGGTTCGAGGGAATCGCTTGTGGGTACATTACTTGTTCTGAAGAATTCGGGCAGTTCGGCCATGCTGGGCGGTGAGTCAAGTAATTCTTCATAAACGGCCAGGCTTCCTTCGTCTGCTGCAAGTAACGTAGACCTACCAACAGATTGATTTAGACGAGGAGGGTCTGGATCCGTGTCCGTTAGGGTCGGAAGCCCAGGATATGCAGGTGGAGGCTCCAGTGGTTGGTGACCAGTCGAATGCATCCGTGTCGGAGAGGGCGACTTGTTTTCCTCCCGCGACGACTGCAGTTTCTTTTCCAGAGAGATCATTGTTGACGAAATCCAGGCTTGTACTTGTAGATTCTACAACGTCCCGGCACAATACGAACGCGCACTTTATGTAGTCCCCGAAGCCGGCGAGTGGAGCCCGCTCGCTACCACCACCACCAATCGCACCAGTCGTACCGTACACGAGAGATGTTTGTGCAGAGTACTGCGGATAAACTGTTGTCTACTGTTGAGTATCCTACAAAGTGCTTGGGACACAGGAGCAGCGATGGGACTGCAGCTGTGCTGCGCTTGCTACGATACAAAAATCTTTGAATATTTTTCAGTGAAGATGAACGGTCAAGGACGCAAATTGGAGCAGAGTGAACGAAACAATGGCAAATGAATGATCCAGTGCCCCGCTAAACTCACACACGCACACTCTCACAGCGATGGCCGCCGCTCCATCGCCGGGGTGAGTTCTATCCAGGTGCCCCACTCACACACACATCAAGTAAAAGTGTCCACGGCGGTCGCATGGCACTACTAGGGCACTAAGAACAGGGTGAAGAACAGAGAACAACAAAACTTACTTCACAAGGCGGAGAACAGCAGGAAATGTTTCACTTTGAGTTTGAAGCCACGTCGTGCACTGACTCTAAGTGTAAGTCTCTGTTGTCACAAACTGACGTCATGACTTCGCATCGATCGACGATCGCACAACGAGTCAACGACACGTTGCAACGTAAAAGTTACGTTACGTCATCGGCCATACAGGGCATGCAGGCGCTATACGCGCTAGTAGCCGCGCTACTGTCAATGACTATGTACATGACTTGTAAGTATTACTAGTATTTACTAGTAATGACCTTCTGGGTTGGTCCAGCGAAAAACCGAGGTCAGTTCTCTTTTCTGAGTGAGTTCAAAGAGGGCGAGCGATACCTACGGTAGTTGTGCTTGTGACGGGCTGGGAGTGGGAGACGGCAGGACAACATGCTTTGGGCAAAACTAGTTGCCGCAACGCTGTTGCTGACCTGTGTGTGCGGGGCAGCAGCTTCGTGGAAGGAGGAAGGAGCCTTCGATGTGGGACTGAATAGCAAGGCTAGTTCGAAGAAGAACGTTCTGTTCATTGTGATTGATACTATTACTATTAGCAAGAGTACATAACATGGTTATGTACTCTTGCTATTAGTTGTAGATCTACATGGTGACTACAGACTCAGACACTCCTAATAGTAATAGTCATGGTATAATATACACAGAAGCCTTGCTTGGTTACTACTAATACTAGTAATTAATACTAGTATACTAGTACAGTCATGTAGTTCCTTCATATTGTTAGATTGACAGCATGAAACAAGGTGGAGAACACTTTGTTCGGAAACAGTGACCTTACTACAACCATCCGCGGTTGGCAGAGCCCCGGTCCTTGCGGACCATTTGAACCATATGGGTGTCGCACCCGGTTCTGACCCTCATTATGCTAGGGTGGTAGGAGACTACTCCTGACGTCCGTCGTGTATTCTTTGATCGCTCCTGGATGTCGTCCTGGTAGTCATGGAGCTACTTAAACCTCAACTTCTTTTCTTCTAACTTCTGCCTATGGCGTCCTTCTCTCAGCTCGTCAGCTGTCAACAGTTACTGCCACCACCGCTGACGAGCTGAGGGAAGGACGCCATGGGCAGAAGTTGGAAGAAAAGAAGTTGAGGTTTAAGTAGCTACATGACTACCAGGGCGACATCCAGGAGCGATCAAAGAATACACGACGGACGTCAGGAGTAGTCTCCTACCACCCTAGCATAATGAGGGTCAGAACCGGGTGCGACACCCATAATTATGGTTCCAATGGTCCGCAAGGACCGGGCTCTGCCAACCGCGGAAGGTTGTAGTAAGGTCACTGTTTCCGAACACAGTGTCCTCCACCTTGTTTCATGCTGTCAATCTAACAATTGCGTGAACTATAACAATGTTTCTTTAATACTGGTTTTAACCAGTGTTAGGTTGTATCATAGTAGTTCCTTGAAACATGCTGTCAAAATCGAAAAACATGTTAGACTCGGTAGGTCTACAGTAGGTCTACAGAGTACAGTCATGTAGTCCGAGTGTCGGCATTGCACTGCCACTGAGTCTGTCGGGCGGAGTAACTACAGTCAACTAACTAACTTCGCTTATAACGACACTCGGCGGGGCATCAAAAAGGTGTCCTTATTCGCGAAGTGTCGTTATACCCGAAGTCTCATTATAATGTATTACATGGTATGGGACTTTGCTCTGGGCATGGAAATTCTGTCGTTATTCGCGAATTGTCGTTATATCCGCAGTCGTTATTAGCGAATTGTCGTTATATCCGCAGTCGTTATTGGCGAAGTTTACTGTAGTTACATTGTAGAGGCCGAGCCAGTCTTTGCAGGGTCTGGGTCTGGCATCAAGATAGCTAGCTGGTGAGGGTGACAACTAGTAGATCTACTTGGCCCTTTTACTGTACTTGCAGAAGTCGGGACAAAGGCACTTCGGTGTCTCCCGCTTCTGGGCCGGCATGGCCCATACTTCATGCGTGAATGTTCCTGTTGTTGTTATGTCTACTGTGTCTTGCCGCTACTCCGGCTTTGGCCGTGACCACGATGTCTCTCCCCCTTTTCTCCTTTATCCTTTCCTTTCTCTTTTTGCTAAAAGCTTTCTTCTCACCGTGACCACGATTTTTCTTCTTTTTCTTCTTTTTCTCCTTTATTCTTTTTCTTTCCTTCTTTTCTCTTCTTCCTTTGCCGAGAGCCTTCTGTTCCCATATTTTCTTTCCATTCGTGTCCCCATTCCTGGGTTACTTCCTGGGGAACGGTCCTTTATTTTTTCAATGTACCTCCGCCCCGTGCTATTATTGGAGACGTTCCTTTATTGGAGACTGTTCCATTATTATTTCAACCTCATTTCAGAGGCTTGTTGCCATGCCAAATTCATGTCAGACACACACATTTCAGGGTTTTTTCGCCGGTACAGATAATGAATTTACACAGTGTTCTTATAATGGAGACTGAGCACTTTATTCTTTGAATGCCGCCCCAAGGTGTTCTATTATTGGAGACGTGCTATTACTGGAGACTGTGCTTATATTAGAGATAACACGGACCGGTAGTTCCATCATGTGACTCAGTCACTGCATCCAATCCTGCATGATTCATGATAATATTATGGCAAAGCATTCTGCTTCAAACGCACTGTGTGTATGTGTGTGTGTGTGTGTGCGTGCATGCATGCATACACCCCCACTGTACAAGAAGCCTTCACAACACCACAACCATGACTTTGTAATAACCCAATACTAATATAGACTGAGTGTGCTGCACAGAGCAGTATTATCATGGTAGATCGCTATCCAAGAAAGGTGCACAAGAGGCAAGAAAGCAAGCTATGACGAACACAGGCCAGCTGCAGCTGCCATCAGTTCCAACGAATACCAGTTGAATACTGTACAGAAGTGCTGTACCAAGCCAGCAAAGGTGGCCAGCGAGTAGTCCATGGTTTCACGCGATTGGTGTTGTGAATAAACCCGCTCTCAGGTAAAATACCGGTACTTTACTACTCCCAGGCGACTTAGAACGAGCACAGTTGAGTGTTGCACTAAGACTAGTAAGAAAGAACAACTGATTGGCATCGCGTGGCGTACAGAAAACAGAGAAGTAGCAGCTACAAGTGAACTGCAAAATGGGTACTAGTAAGGCGTCGACGAGTAAAGTCAGAACGTTAAAAACTAACAAAACAAAAACAGGCCGCCAGCAGCTGTAGGTAGAAAGACGACACGGACGAAGAGAAAATTAGAACGATCAGCTACTGTAGAACGCGTTTAGCCTATAGGAATTCGAATAAACACTGACATACTTTGGAGGTTATGTGAAGAAAGCCGTTGCAGATAGCGACACAGTAATTCTGCATTCCGCCTGCACACCGGATTTTCTAATGGCAGATTCAGCTAATCGTATATGCGGCTAAAAGGCACTACACTATTCGCCGTCAGCACTGAAGTGCAAACAAACGACGGGGTTAAAACTCTGTGGAAACGCACGGAAAGCTTGTAACAAGCGGCACGCAGATATAATCACCGGAAGAAGAACAAATGTTGGCAAGGATGTCGCACTCGTCTCTGCTAGGTAGGCCCGAGGTTCCAGCGGCAGTAATAGTACAGCAATGGATTGCAAGTTGCTAGAAATGATACTAACTGTCGGTTGGGTCGACGGAAACAACGCGAGACGTGTCAGAATGAACGTCAGCATCATCTCGTGCTCTGCTTGCCTCAGCTGCTGCTTCCGTGGCGCGAGTAAGATCCACTGCTTGCGAGGCTAGACCCTGAGATTCAGCAGACGAATTTAACTGAACAGCCGCCAATTGCGCACCCACGTCCTCTGCGGATGATACAGATCCGTTAGTCACCGTGTGGCTTGAGGACACGGCAGAAACGGACTGCCCAGAGCCGCACCCAAGCTCTAGTGAAGATGGCGAGGCTAGGTCATCGTCGGTGGCAGCGTGTTCTCGTTCCTCGGCGTGTGCCTGTGTCCGCAAAGCAGTGGATTCCGTGCAGGCAGTGCCGTCAAGTACTGCCATGTTCGTGGAAACGGTACTGGATAAATCGCATACCCGCCGACCTTGATGAGCAGCGTCAGTAGCTGTATCGGAAGTAGCCATGTGCTCCGTCGTTGTCGCACTAGTGCTGCACGATGGTGTCGATACTCCCGTACCTGGGCTACTTCTGTTAGGATACGCTGGACCTGAGGCCGACTGACTCTGTTCTGCAGGATGGCTTGCTGGCGCTCGACTAGTATCTGGAGCACTAGATGTCCCGGAACCGGTGTGCGTCACAGCCAACCGACTGTTGCCCTCTTCGCCAGTTGCTGCAGCAAGCGCAAGAAGCGTGGGTGCTGTGCTGGCAGAGGTTCCATTGTCATTTCCTCTGTCGGCAGCAGAGGACTGCGGGCGCGATTGCGGAGCGCTCGCCCCGGGCGGTGACCAAGAACGAGCGGCGAAGAAGTGATCGCGCTGCGCCATCATGGCGGGTTCGTTGAACGGGTTTCGGGTGAAGTCCTCCGATGGCGGCTCCTCTGAATCTACGCGCACCACCCGGTATCCGCCTTCACCGAACGGAGAGTCACGACTACCAGCCGTGCCGCTAGTGCTCGTAGCTGGTAAGCGCTCCCCCGTTGCAGGCAGTGTTGCTTCTTGCTCGGCAGAAAGCGTCGTCGCGGACACTGATGACGAAACACCTGCTTGGACGTGATTCCGGGAATTACTCCCTTCACCAGCAGCAGCACCACCAGCAGCAGCTGCAGCACCGCCACTAGGAGATGGAGTATGGCCCCCTGTGGAGCTACTGGGACTGGCCTGTCCAACAGAGGATACGTGCCAGTGGCTGGACGAACCAGGCGCCACACCTGAATGCTGGTCTAATCGGGCAGCGGACAGTCCAGGCGTGGAGAGCGCCGACACAGCCGCTTCCAAGTCTAGCCGCTCGCCACTTACATGTACCTTGGTTTGCGACGACGTCGGCGTGACAAAATCAGAGCGCCTGGGACTAAGTGGAGGGTGTCCGCCAATGGGAGTCGAAGGGACGGACGAGAAAGAGCCGGTGCGACGGAGAGCATTCTCTGGCCACTGGCGAGAATCATTGCCATGCTGCTGAGAGAGCTTATCCAGGCGAGCCTGCGTTGGAGGAACAGAAACACAGCAATGGGTAGCAGCAGCAGAAAGACAAAGTCAGTGGTGAACAAAGGAGAACGGGGTACCATTTAACAGTCTTTCCAGGGTACGGAGAAGGAGAGAGAGAGAGAGAGAGAGAGAGAGAGAGAGAGAGAGAGAGAGAGAGAGAGAGAGAGAGAGAGAGAGAGAGAGCGAGAGAGAGAAAGAGAGCGAGAGAGAGAGAGAGAGAGTAAGTTACATTTATAAAGACAGGTAAGTCTAACAAATGAGGACTGAGACCTCTACAACAGGGTTTTTACGCCTGAAAGCAGGTGCATGATTTAACAAGCAGGTTGTCAGTCTAGATTTTATGCGCAGATGGAGAAAAAGCGCAGAATTTTGTAATGAGATGAAAAGCAGAAATAATAAGAAATAATAAGAAAAGATGAAATGAAAGCCTGCTCACAACCCCGCCCAGCCTTGCGAACTGGGTATGGTGGATTAAGAACCCGGTTCAACGCTCGAGCAAGCGCTCTCCACTCAAGGTGTTCACAGCAACTGATAGGAACTCATATGGGGAAATTATAGAAAAGAAATAATAAGATAAAGAGAATAAATTTCAACGCACCTCAATAAACGGAGCCCCACATACAGTACCTCAGAAAAGTGGATCTTCCGACCAGTGTTTTTGTTGACGTCGCAACCAGATGATGTAGCTGCTTCGCAGAGACGTCTTACTGCACAAATTACAAATAAATTTTATTCTTCGATTAGAAAGCCCAAGCGCTTTCAGAGCCCTCCGAAGAGAGTCCGGGATGAAACCACGCACACCTACCTCAACCGAAAAAGAAACGACCTGCCACCCGTTTGCTCGGCATTGATCGGCCAGATCCGCATACCGCCTGTCCTTCCGCGAGTTACTGACACTGAATCTGTCCTCAGCACAAACTGTCAACTCCATCCAGAATACAATCCTACGACTCGTAGAGTACAGAACTATATCTGGTCTTAGGGTGGTAAGTGCAACACAGCTAGGGAAAGAAATCTTTGCACTAACTGAGTCGACAAGAAGTTTCCAGTCTGAGGCCGCTGACAGGAGATCAGTCGTAACCAACTTTCGTCTGGGCTGAACGCGAACTGGCTTCTCTCCCGCCTTGCAAAACGAGATGAAGTCAAGCTCATTTGAATTTTCGGTTTGTACGGTGTTTGCAGCAGTGCGGATTCGAATCTCCTCACGCATGTTCCTGACGATGACCCCGAGTACGTTGTCGTGCCTCCAGGTGTAACGTCCCTGGTCCAGCGCTACGCGACAAGCGCCAAGCACGTGGCGCGTAGTACAGGCCCAGGCACGGCACAAACTACAGTACGGATCCACTACGGTGTTTCCCCAACGGCGTAGGTTCGTCGGAGAAGGGGAGAGAGAGAGAGAGAGAGAGAGAGAGAGAGAGAGAGAGAGAGAGAGAGAGAGAGAGAGAGAGAGAGAGAGAGAGAGAGAGAGGGGGACTGGCAATATGACCATGTGGAGTACAGACCAGTACGCTCATACCCTATTGCTAGACCCGTGGGTTCGTGCCTTTGGACACGAGGAACGTGCCCATTCAGCATATAGAAAAGGGCACTTGCAACTTCAACGTAAAGTCCGGCTATCCCACAGACTAAATCCATGCACACTGATTTACCTGCTCGGCTAAAGAGACTGGCGTACCATCAATAGCCACCTGCATCACAACACAAGTACAGTCATGCAAGATGTATTGTCAGGAAGAAAGCAACCCTATCTATCGACTGTCAAGCACCAGATTACTAGTATAAAAGAACCTCCCATAGTTGCCACCTGTCAATAAAGGACAAGTCTCGACTAAGGACACCTTCATATCCAGAACACAAATATTGAGAAAGATGGATGTCGTATGGCTGACAAAAATCCAATTCTTTTGAACTTTCAGGCCCAATGCAAGAGGAGACTCCCCACAAACACTGGTGTGAAGTGACTACACTATGCTGATTTTGTTCAACTTGCTGCTCCGTACCATTCGAGGAAAAGAAGCATGTTTGTTTGCAAGTCCAAATGTCGGAGCCTCCAGCAAAACGTTTGTAAGAAGCAGCCGATAGTGCATGTACATGTAGTTCTAGGTCAAAGGAGAATTATGTATACATGTAGTCTGCTGTATGAGACTCGTTTCGGAGTGCTGTTTACTGAAAAACTTCAAAATAAAAGGACCTATCTGAGCCAGTATCATTGGCTGCAAAAATGAAAATAAGGTGAATTACTTTGGACACTATGTGGCCTAACATGGCCTTCCAAAGCAGACTGAACAGGGCTATGTTACGCCCCTGCCCCCCCCCCCCCCCCACACACACAACCATTGAAACCTACATACATTGCACACACACTCACACACAATTTACACTCGTCACTTACGACATTGACGCAATGCGGCACCATAGCCAGTGCTCCGACTCGATAACCGCGACGCTGGGCAAACGGGTTTGCTGAGGAGAAACGCAACGAATAACGACAGCAGCAGCACACTCAGGCGAAAGCCACATCTTGCGTTACCATGGCAACACAACCCTATAGAAGACCATCCTCAGCAATGGCCTACGGCCTGAGTGTTTGGAACATGACTACATACATGCAGGGGTCACATTGCAAAATTACCCAAACGAGATTATCATTCACTCGCATGACAAACCACATTTTTTGGTTTGTTTTCTACATGGCTCACATGTTCTGCTGGTTAAAGTTGGAGAGACAACAAGATAAGAACAGCAAAGAGGAGCAAACAAAATAAAATACAGACACGAATGTACAGCACGGGCTGCTATGAATGCAGCTGTGTCAAAGAACTAGCTCGTCGCACACATCTCTACATCAGGACCAGGGAGTGGTATAATACTACCCCTGGTTAGTACCAGGCCAGTGATCTAAGCGCACAACTGCAGGATCGATTTACACGACACGATGGGTGGCATATCACATGTGTGAAGAGCAGTGGGGAAACATCATGTGACTATTTCCCAGTAAAGACAGATCATGTGACTATTTCCCAGTAAAGACAGATCATGTGACTACCGTATTTTTCGGAGTATAGTGCGCACCTTTGTATCACGCGCACCCCGAATCTTCATTGGCAGTGCGCACTTCAATCTTCATTGATGTACATGCATTTCATATTCGGAGCATAGTGCGCACCTGCGATTTAGGGCCTAAAATAGCACATCTAAAGTGCGCACTATACTCCGGAAAATACGGTTTTTCCCAGTAAAGACAGATCATGTGACTATTTTCCAGTAAAGACAGATCATGTGACTATTTTCCAGTAAAGACAGATCATGTGACTATTTCCCAGTAAAGACAGATCATGTGACTATTTTCCAGTAAAGACAGATCATGTGACTATTTCCCAGTAAAGACAGATCAGGTGACTCCTTCCCCGTAAAGACAAGTCATGTGACCATGTTCCAGTATATCAGCCAGCACATGTGACAAGTCGATGCAAGTACCCGGTATGCATGTACTTCCACTTCACATGCCCATCGCTGAAGCGATGATAGCGAATAAGCTATGTTAGACATAGCAACTTGTGCTGGGATTGCACCATTCAGCAGCACGCACACAGGCGCGCACGCACGCACACACACGCGCGCGCGCGCACGCACACACCCGCCCACCCACCCACACACCCACTTGACTCGACCGCATGCTGCCAGACACCAGAAGCACATCTCTCCTACTCACCAGCCAGCTGCAAGTGCCGTAGCTGGCCCAGATCGGACAGAGCTGCCAACTCCGTGTGCGATGCCACAAGATTGTGGTCTATGAATATGCTACGCAGCTGTGTGAACGCTTCCAAACCTACCAAAAGCAGAAGTAGAAGGCAACGCAGCAAGATAAATGAAACTGAGGACGGTCAAAGGTAGTGCTAGAGCACAACAAACTATATACTGTAAAATCAGAAACTTTCGGTGGTGTTTTATTTTTGGTAACTTCGGTGCCGAAATTTTTACCGAAAATAAAACGCACCGAAAATGTCGGTACTGTACTGATACCCTGACCCGGAAAACGGGTTCACCGAACCGCCGATTTTGAAGAATACCGAAAATATTACACCACGGAAATTTCTGCTTTTACAGTACAATGGAACTCACTTAGAATACACAGGCAGTTTGACCGGTCAAAGAGGGCAGAAGAGACGGGGACTGAAGGGAACGCCCAACGGGGACACCGGACAATGCACACTCGCAAAGCCAGACATACCAGTGAGAGTTTTCAGGCGATTGTGCCCAAGGTTGAGCTCGTGAAGTGGCCGAAACTCCTGATCACACACAACACAACAGCAAGACTGAAAATGAGTTTACTAAACTTTACATCATGCTCACATACGCTGTCCTTCAAAACAACCGAATGGTTGCTTATCAGACCATATGTGAAGAATGCCAAGAAAAGTTGATAAGTAACTGTTACTTCAGCTGTGACAGAAGACAATAGGCATGCCCAGTTGGTATTGTCCATGTGCGACACGGACAGTTGTGCTCAATCAATACCTACAGTCCATTTCAAAACTATAGACGCGCAGTGTTTTTGAAATATTTCAAAATTGGTTGGAACTTTTTGAGAATAGTTTTCGGAATATTGCTCAGGTCCGCTCCACAATTGCTCTCATAAAGTTTCTAAACGATTGGATAACAGACGCCCAATTTGGAAAAAATTATGCACAAAGTGATCACAGATTTTATGTGGTATAGATGCTGGCATAACGGTTTTTGCCTAGGTACGCGTCTATAGTTTTGAAATGGACTGTACAGCACTGATATAGTACATGCATCAACAGTCTACAGAGGTGGCAAGTGAAACCTAGCACCTGCTCAAGTGTAGCCTGGTGCACATAGCAGGCACCTCCGTCCTAGCACAAAACCGTGCGAATCAACAGGCGGAGTTACATTCGTCACCACTGTAGGCAAGTACACATGTACACATACGCACACACCTCATCATCAGTGCCAGGCTTGGCAGAAGGGCAAGGCGCGAGGCAGCAGAGAAAACAGTGCACAACACATGCGCTGCGAGACGTACCTGTTTACAGGCTGTTAGCGTCGAGATCTGATTATGGGCAAAATTGGCTTTCTTCAGATGTCCCACGCACAGCAGATCGAAGTCGAGACTTTGGATCATGTTGAAGCTAAAGTTTGCCTGGAAAACAAACGCACAACACAGAGATATCGATATCAGCCACAATTCACGGAAAGCTCCTTATACGGTGCATCCAGTAAGTGATAGTGTGAGATTGAAAATCGTGGAGTAGACTTCCTAAACTGATTCACAATAGATAATAGTATCAAATGCAACGCCTGATATGGTGAGAAAGACGTGCAATGTCAGCGACACGGTCGCCATAGTACCTCTTGCAGCGCTGGCAGCAGTCTCAGCGAGTCGTCCAGGGCCGTGATGCGATTGCGGCTGACATCCAGGTGTGTGAGATGCGTCCACTGTTGCATCACCGGCCGATCAACGGTCAGCGACACGATCGAGGAGTGCCGCCAGCTGTCGACACCGCTGGATGACAAGCTAGTCGACACTGCCGAAGGACCACGTCGCTCGATGGCAGCGTCTTCGAGTACAGACTACACGAGAAGGTAAAGCCAAGACACAGTAAGAGAGCAAGATCGATATTGGCGCACCATTGGGCGGCCATAGATTCATTAGAGAGCCCCTACCACCACCACCACCACCACCACCACCACCAAAGGCAAGTGAAACTATAAATGGGTATCAGTCATGGAACAACATGGAACACGCACAGCTAGACATAACACCACGATCAAAGGGTCGGATCTGGTTACACTAACGGCCAAATCGCTTTCTATTCTGCTCCTGAACACTGGCTCAAGGAATCCAAGTAGCTAAACAATAAAAGTCAACAAGCTGCTTCTCTGGGTCAAGAAGAGCGACTCACGAAAAGGCAGTGGATAGTGCACAGAAAAAGCAGTGTGAATTACCTTCAAAGAGTTCAGGTTGTGGTGCATACCGAGGCGGCGTACTTGCTGGCACACTGTCGACAGTCCCTCAAGAAGTGCAAGGGGACATGTATCAATCTACACACCATGTGCAAGGAGAGACAGCAAACAGTAAAATTTAATTGCACACCAGCAACACCAACAACTAGGTCGAACGTTGCACGGTTACAACTTACATGCATAGTTATTTTGCAAACTACAACCCAACCGTATACAAACCAGGAAACGTATTCTAAGATTCGCTGAGGTGATTGGCTTTGAAAAGGCAGTTTGTAGGCACCGGCGGACTATGCTCGAAAAGGTGGCAGATTCTGCTCGAAAAGCAGTGAATTGGCAGAACCATACAAACCTTATGGCGGGCAATTCCTCAAATTCTGAGATTCTGATTATTCTGATTAATTATTCTGAGGTCTACTTACATTCAGTAAACGCAGCGAGCGGAACTGAGCCAGGCTGAATGGCATGTTACAGGACGACGGATGGCCAGCAGGTACAGCTATACTTAGCGCTTCCAGCTGATTGATGAAGCTGTAGAGATGGCTAAGGTCGGTGGCACCACCGTCAGTGTTGTCTGCACAGTGCAAAGCAAGTCATGGTTCGCAGCAGAACACTAAATCAAATTTCCAGACTTCTTCCGAACCACTTTTCCACGACAGGTCTGGACTGAAGCAATCACAATTTTTCGCGCAATGCATTGTAGTGCATAGGCTAGTGTACAGACTATTGTAACTCACCAAACAAATAGGTATCGCGACAACTAATACGCCGTTGGAAAGGTCTCTAGCTGAGCTTTCCAGGGATATAACCAGGGATATAACCAGGGATATAACCAGGGATATAACAAGGGATATAACCAGGGATATAACCAGGGATATAACCAGGGATATAACCAGGGATATAACCAGGGATATAACCAGGGATATAACCAGGGATATAACCAGGGATATAACCAGGGATATAACCAGGGATATAACCAGGGATATAACCAGGGATATAACCAGGGATATAACCAGGGATATAACCAGGGATATAACCAGGGATATAACCAGGGATATAACCAGGGATATAACCAGGGATATAACCAGGGATATAACCAGGGATATAACCAGGGATATAACCAGGGATATAACCAGGGATATAACCAGGGATATAACCAGGGATATAACCAGGGATATAACCAGGGATATAACGGTCTTTGCGACAAGAAATATGTTTAAAGTACTAAGTTAGTACACAAGACGATCCGCATGATGAGCATATCACTAAGTACACAAGACGAGCCGCATGATGAGCATATCACTAAGTACACAAGACGAGCCGCATGATGAGCATATCACTAAGTACACAAGACGAGCCGCATGATGAGCATATCACTAAGTACACAAGACGAGCCGCATGATGAGCATATCACTAAGTACACAAGACGAGCCGCATGATGAGCATATCACTAAGTACAAAAGACGAGCCGCATGATGAGCATATCACTAAGTACACAAGACGAGCCGCATGATGAGCATATCACTAAGTACACAAGACGAGCCGCATGATGAGCATATCACTAAGTACACAAGACGAGCCGCATGATGAGCATATCACTAAGTACACAAGACGAGCCGCATGATGAGCATATCACTAAGTACAAAAGACGAGCCGCATGATGAGCATATCACTAAGTACACAAGACGAGCCGCATGATGAGCATATCACTAAGTACACAAGACGAGCCGCATGATGAGCATATCACTAAGTACACAAGACGAGCCGCATGATGAGCATATCACTAAGTACACAAGACGAGCCGCATGATGAGCATATCACTAAGTACACAAGACGAGCCGCATGATGAGCATATCACGGCACTAAAGCCACATCAAAATGATCATGGTGAAACCGGAATTGAGACCGTCTGCAGAGGCAAAGGTTTGCCCATTTCCAACATCAGTCTCGGTCTCGCTCTGTCTGTCTGTCTGTCTGTCTTTCTCCCTTGTATGTGTGTGCATGCATGTGTGTACTTCCTCCGCGTCATCGAAATTGTCGCAGTTTGACTAGTGACTTGTCACTTGTTGCTGACAACTCCATAAGCTAAGCCATTCAAAACGTATTACACAGTATGATAGTCTGAAGACTAGAGTAACGTTCCAGGACAGTTGGACTGAGAGTTTTCATGCAGAGATGAAGTCCTCGTCGCCGCTGATGTCAATGGACGCACAAATATCGTTCCGAAATATTTCAAGGAAGGTTGAAAGTAACTTCTTTGGTCGCACCTCATCTCAAATGCTTTGACTTTCTCCACAGGACAAGAGCTGCTATGCTTGTCTAGCTCTGGATGATTTCTACTTCACCGCCAACGAAGCCTAGTAAGAATACATGATCGTTGCGAGGTTGGTTGATTACCGTCGGCGGAATCACCTCGAACTTGAAATGAACTTTTTTTAGCCGTGGCATGCCCATTTATTTTAGTTGTGTGGTCACAGCTCATGCAGGTAAGTGTACTATCACGTCCAGCGCGCCCTCCTTTTCAGCATCACTGGTATACCATGGTACGGCACCTGCGCGTGTATCACTAGCACTACGTGTAGAGTCTACACGGCTCTTGCAGGTACAATCATGTACTGAGTGTCTCAGCCAGAGCGACAAATTTTATCGCTGTTGCAGGCATTTAGTTTGCTGACCCCTCGATGTATCTCCAAGCGCTGCCACTTGTTCCACGAAGTCATTCTCACCCCAGCTAAGGTAAAACAGCGATGAGGCTTGAGTGAATGGCCATAAGCACGAGAAATGTGCAGGCTGCAATGCCTGACTGATCTCAGCGAGTCGAAATTACCATCGCAGCGACAACAGCGAAGAAATTGAATCTAGTTCAAAAATTCCAGCTTCCAATAACAGAAAATAGAACTTTGCCGTCACCCTATACTGATGACTATCGCCTATGTCCGATTCCTTGCCTCTGGTACGAGTGCTGGTGAGTAAATACCCCGTTTTATATCAAAAGTCAAACTGCGACAATTTCGATGACGCGGAGGAAGTACATGTGTGTGTATGCATATGTGTGTGCATGTATGTGTGTGTGTCCATGTGTGTGTGTGTGTGCATAATTATGTGTCTATCTGTGTCTTTAAGAGATAAAACTAACCTCCATCCGCCATTGGTAGCTTTAACCGTTTGCAAATGCAGAACATCTCTGTTGGTGTGTACTGAATGGGCCGGCGATTCGAGAGAATAACTTCACCTGAAAATGAGCACATCAGTCACCAGAGCAAATTCCAACAGATTGAAATACACTCATGCACACAGCCATGGACCATCCACGTCCACACACCATGCGGTGGAACGGATGACAGAATTGCACAGTGGATCGCAGGACACCACAGTTAACACACTTGTTGCTGCTGTGCACAACACAATTACACATCCAAGCACCGGAGTCAACACACAATGAAAAACTCAACGAAAACACCGTACCTTCTTCGAAAGCACGCCTGGCAAGTCGCTTTGCAACTTGAATGACATCCTGAATAGGCAGTAAGAGATCAGAAAGATGCACAGCACGTTACGCATGCATACTGTAAACAAACCCTGCCTTGCACACTGAGGGTGTCAGATGAGTTGAGCACGCGCACAATCGGATAGCAGCTGGGCCAGCATCCATCAGTAACCATCTCTGACATTGACTACTCGCGTGCAAAACGATATGTGCATGTACAGTCATTTGCCGGTTTTGAGACAGAAATCGTTAGAATTTCAACTCGCTATTAACCCACAACAACCCGGAGGTCGTTAACTTTAATTGAGGTTAAAATATCTGGTCTAATAGTAGTTCTAGCGAAGGCAGTGAGTACATTACTGCATTTCCCAAGACCAAGTAAGACTTACGTGGGACTGAACATCGAGAAACAACGACAAGACCTTGGACGTGGCCACTTCAAAATGACTACACAGAAAGCACACAACAAGATACATGTAATATCCATACTATCATGCCAGAAAAGAGAATGCAAGTCAGACAAATTCTGTGCTCAATGCTCATTTGGATTTCAATGCTAGCCACACTACTAGTACTCGTTGTGTCTTCCGCTGTCTGAGTGACTTTCCATACACCTAGCAACTGCTGGCATTCATTGGAGACTAATTATAGGTTAGTGCATGGCAGGGAGGGCCTTATGGCTTGTTAGTGCCCGACAGGTTAGCCTGAGGGCCGTAGGCCCGAGGGCTACCCTGAAGGGCACAAACAAGCCATAAGACCCTCCCTGCCATGCACTAACTATTTTAGAACGAGGTTACATGCATTATCTCACTTCCATTATGCTTGTGTACCATTATATTGGGTAGTTTTGTGGTTTGTGTGCAGAGAGACTTGGTGTGGTATGAAAGAATATTTTCTTCTGGTAAGTTATGGTAACTCAGCACCACTTAGGACTACTAAAAGTAGAATAGAAGTAAATGAAATGCTGGGCTCTTATTGCGAGCTGCATTCTTATTCATAGCTTGTGGAGCTATTTAGGGGCTTTGAGAGCCCCTTGTCGATACCTCTAATGACTTTGATCTTCGGTTTTTATAGGTTTCCGCAAGCTGTTGACAAAGGAATTTCGTACAGATAAAAGAATACGGGAGGCAAAAACCGTACACACTTCTGAAATGAGTAGCTTTTAGTAGTACACCGTACATTTTATGCAGAGTTCATTATCTGCACCGTACTATAATGCATACAGGGAGTTGTACGCACCCGTTTAGAGTATATTCAGCGGGCTTTAAACTAATCCAAGGCTCTCGACGTGTCATCAAGAGTAGTAAAATAACGATTGAGCGGGCTTTAAACTCTGATAAGGCCCTTGGCGGGAATGTAGCTGATTGGTCGTTTCCTGGACAACGAGACAGACCTCGTTCTAAATGAGTATAATGCTTTTCTTGCAGACAAAGAAAGGCCAGCATCCCACACAAATCCAAAAAACAATCTCGCTCTTTCGTCTGATACTCACGATTGAAATTTCAATTTATAAACCCAGTTTGAGCACTCCACGCCGGACACACAAGGCTTACCTGTTGACCAGCCGTTGCAGGTAATGCTCCAGGGCTTCTCGTCGAGACTCAATCACCTTCGGGTCAAGGTTACCCGTAAGGCGCTTGGGAGGTAGTAGGTCCTTGGCTATCCCATACCGCTGTACCAGCTGCAAGACAAAGACACCAAGGACAAGGAAAGCAAGCACTTTGAATGACACTGCCTCCATCATCCATCTATTCTATTACTGCAACACTCGTATCCAATTCACTCAGAGTACATAACGACCAAGAGTGAACAGCTCGTGCAAGCAGTGCTGACCTGATAGAATTTCAAGCTGAAGTCATTAGCGTACATTTCTATTTACTGTCTGCACTTCATGGCACATAATGAAAATAGTCAAAAACAAGGAAGAGAGGGTACACGCACCAAGTCAGAGTGGTCTGGTGGTGCCCCTCACCCTAGTGATAAACTCATCATATTCGGCTTTTTTTTTTGTTGCCAGGAAGTGCTATTCTCACTACTCTAGTGCTTGCTTAAAACAGGCTGGACCGTACAACGTGAACACCACACCACGTGGCGTGATTTTCCACCACCGATGGATCCGCACATAGCAAGACCATGCAGAGTCACACACTCTTGGGAAAGGGGGTAAAATTAGACTCTTGGTATTGGCTTGGCCATGCATGCTTCGTTTCTTGTGCATTCACCTCCCAGAAGCAATGATGTTCTTTCAGTACTTTTGTGTATTTTACTATACATGGTTTGTCTGAAGAGTAGTACTGTGATATGCTAGAGACATCTATACATACTTCGTACTAGATATAGCTGCAGCCTTATCCTGAGCGGTTTCGTTCTCCATGCGTGTAAAGGCTCTGCCCCCAGTGAATGGAGAATTATTCAAGCAACTGCTGCTACTTTCGTTGACATGTAGCTACATGACTATAATTATTATGTAGTAGAGTAGTGGTGGTAAACAAATAGGTGTGATCATAGAAACGGCTACAAGTATCTTTCAACACAGAGGAAACGCTACTCTACAGTCTAATAATAATAATAATAATAATAATAACACAGTTGCGCGTAATGGAACATTACTATTGTGCAACACTAATGTTCGGTTCGCTGCTGTCTTGATGAATCTTTCCGTTGTTCTAGTTCAGTATCATTAGTTGTAGACCATCGCACTCTACAGTCTACACACAATAATCTTGTGCGTTGAAGTGCTGCAAACATGAAGGATGAGCGGCCTAGGCCTGTTTCGGCTACTCACCTCCGTGTGGAGTTGAAAGAACTCGCTGTAGCGGCGCAGGACACACCAGTGATTCCACTGGGTCAGTACATTGATCTTGTACACCTAGAGCAAAAAAAGAAAGAGAAAGACAAAAGCAGTGCACATCGTATCAAAAATCATCACGTTTCCTCAACTCGAACACTCGGTGTCTTCCCTGCAAACACCAAACACCATCATATGCACATGCACAAAAAAACTCCGATTCACTACGAGACCAGTGCACAAACGTTCCACAATGCAGTATCATGCACCAGCCATAACAATGTTGTACTTGATTGGATGTTGCAATGCATCGAAACATGGTTTACCAATAATATAATTCTGTAAAATCGGAATATTTCGGTGGAGATTTATTTTCGGTAACTTCGGTACAGGTAATTTTTACCTAAAATAAAACGAGACCTAAAATTCAACCATGCCATGCCATACAGTGTGCAAAATGCATTTTCGGATCTGGAAAACTGGTTTACCGAAGTTTTCGCGCTACTGAACCGTTGATTTTGGGAAATGCCGAAAATATTACACCACCGAGAATTTCCGGCTTTACAGCAGGTGAGAGAAATGGTATCAGTGAGTGCGAGCAGCAGTACCCCCGCCTACCGTATTTTCCGGAGTATAAGCCGCACTTTGAACACTCAAAATTCACCCAAGAAAAGGGGCATATACTCCGATGATAAAACTAACAGTGATAAATAAAGTAGATGTCTGTATTTCGTGGCAAAAGGGGGGGGGGGGGGGGGTGCGGCTTACACTCCAGTGCGGCGTATACTCTGGAACATATGGTACTTCTGAACAGGATCATACACCAGTAGTCAGCTGCGACGACAGGCGGCACCTAATTTATTAGTTACATTGTATTGTCACAGGGCGTAAACACCATTAACTTGAAATTACCACCCGACTCTACCACTTGGCACAGCACATACATGTACTTTGTACTTGCCCTCGCCATACGCATTTGCTACCTTCAGCATTCTCACAGTGGGGGAACGATCATTTTTTTCTTTCTTTCTTAATGTGGTTCTCTTTTTACTCTTTGATCACCGTACACGTGGTGTTGCGTGTGAGATCTGGACTACCCTGGCCTAAGTTAGGACTGTTTTCAGAGGGCTGAAGTGTAACAGCTGCCTATTGTTGCCTATCAGTGTACATGATGTGTACATTCTAGAACATTTCCTTGATGACATTATTTGCTTTTTGAAGCATTTATACTTGGCGTTTGCCTCCACTTTGCTTCCTTGGTGGTAGCCTGATGACGGCCAAAGGACGAAACAGTTGTTATTTATTTTCTGCGCTGTAGCCGAGTGCCTGTGGTGGCGTGTTTAAGATGGAGGTATGCTCGACTATACAGGTACAGTGGAGCCCACTTAGTACGTTCTCTGATAAGACAAGCGCTTGCTTAGTACGGACATTGCTCGGAGAGCACGGATGTGTTGTACGGAAATTGTTCGGAGCACGGATGTGTTGATCCATACTAGACCATAGCGAAGTATGTTGGGATATGAACTAGTATACTAAGTACACTTTCCTGCGTCAAGGGGGGGGGGGGGGGGGGTGCATCTTATCAGACCTCTACTGTAACTACAAATTTTTCTACCAACAGGCGTGTAGCCACCGCCTTTGGAGGTGGACCGGCAGAAGGGAGGTCAGGGGGCTTCGGGAAATTTTTTAAATTAGGGTGCAAAATCCGGCATTCTGGGCCCTTTCGGCCGTGGTCGGGCGAAAAAGTGGTCCGGCCAAAGCCGGACCGGCCTGACCGGCTGCTACGCTCCTGACCAATTATATCAGCAATGCTCAATCGAGTCGGTGCCATGGAGAAATCAATGACACAGGAAGCCAGTCGTTCATGCTTAATCAGCCTGAATATGGCTTTACCCGCATTGAGAATACCACTACTGAGCACTTCGTTGCACATGTGAACATTTTTGCTGATCTGGCTCTCTCATCAGATTTTTCCAATGTAAAAATTGGTGCATGCACAACACGCACCAGTACTTCACTTTTCATTCATTTCAATCATACACATCTTTTTCTCCCCCTTCAGCACTATTCTCTCAGAAGTACAAAGATGATGTAAACTCACAACGTGTGTGGACGGTTGCTTCACGATCTCAGCCTCGCGAATTACGACATGACGAACACGATTTTCCTGATCTTGGTCATGCCAAGTACTGCTAGCACCTCGTTCTGTTCTGGTAGTAACCCTGGAAGCTCTCAGGGAAGTCATCATAGCACACTCATACCAAAAGCGAGCTCAAGACTCTGCACTGGCCCTCCTTTTGGACTTTTTCTTTATCAATTCAGCAAAACGTCAAACTGACTTGCATGAACACTATCGTGGAAAATACACGGTTTTGATGGATTTGCTTGCAAGTACAGTAATTGCATACCCGCGACCGCGTACCGCGTACTTGTACCGCGGGTGTAGGTCTACCATGTAGTTGTGTGTACCGCGTACCGGCCGACGCACGCGATCGCAGGGTGCGAAGTGCATGCTCTCACTCAGCTTTTTTTCTTTTTTCTTTGACGTCACTCTCGACGTGTATTACTATGTATAATAATATTCATGATTATGTACATGCTGGTCATTATTATGATCATGACATCATGCATTATGGCTCTGATCATCATGATCATCAAGGAAAAAATTATGATTGTGGCAAAAATATTTTCACGATGACGAATCGTGTGCATGCTTTCCGTTTTCGAAGCAGCAAGCGCTGCATCGAGTACGAGTTCGAGTGTCCATGTGGAAAGATCACCCATACAGGCATCCTCCTCCACAAGTAAGAAGCTGTGGCCTCAGCTGTTCACACCTTCGTCGAGAGTTTCTGGAGTCCGATCCCATTTCAGCGCGTTTCTTTTGTTTTGAGAAGGAGCACTAACCCACGTTGCATAACAGTGAAGGTTACTCTGTCGGGCAGCTGGTCGCATTTTTCTTTAGAGCAAGCTGCAAAGGTCTACCGTGGAACGCCACTGTTTTCTCTGTGCGTGGCAATGTAAATTACTTCTGGTCAACTGTTTTCAAAAACCTTTGATTCCAGCTCCAGCTGAGAAATGATTGAGGGTAGTGATTCGATAGGTGGCGGCGTTCTGATGGAAGGGCACGACTTTGATTTGGTCAAGGCGTCACAGTATGGATATCTGGAACGAATTCGCCAGCTAGTGGAGACGCAGAAAGTGGACTGTTGCAAGGGCGACGAACAGAACATCACGCCAATGCACTGGGCTGCCATCAACGATCGCTTAGATGTTGTCAGGTAAATGCCGAAAACACCCATTTAGTGTAGAAACTGCGTGTGCAACATGATACAGTACTAAACACGCGATACACTGCACTGTCCTCCATTATTTATTATTAATTTTAAAATTGCTGAGTACCCACGCAATCAAGGCAGGCACTGGTACCATGGTGTAGAGGAGACGGCTCGATACCGGGACGTTTTGACAGCCAAATTTGTATAGACCCAAACCGATCATCAGCGTTGATTTTTCACTCGAAATATGTTTGTGGAAGGAAACTGACATGTTGAAGTTTGCTCTGGGGCCAGAGTCAATCGAACTGAGCCACTCCTTTGTGTTGACCCATTGCCTCCAAGTTGCCCAATTTTTCGCTTCAAAAAAGTTCAAATCAGAGGTGGCTCCAAACCGGACACGTTTTAGAGTGCACGTCAAATTCACTCTGGGTCTGAAGTTAGGTAATTGCTATCGCTCCACGACGGCCAGTATAGAGTAACAATAAGCCTTGTGTGTGCTTCCATTAGTTTTGATTTGTATGCGGTGCTTTATTGGCGAGAGGCGAGCCGCTGTTTACCTGCGACAAGAAGTTGATTTTTCGAAAGTCGTAAAACTCAAGTCGCAGTGCGAAGCAACACGTCAAAAACTCACCTGCTTGATATGGCGCTTCTGGTCATCGCAGAGCCATGACATTTTGGCTCGGAGTATAACACATAGTAGTCTCACTGTGACATATGTTTTCTAATCAAAATACCAAGAGAGAAAGTGAATATTGAGTCCGTTCCGGTTTGCAACCGGTGTCCTATTTGAAACCGTCCCCTCTACATTGTAAAGTGTGCCACTTGAATTCGCTGCTACGCCTACTATGAAATAGACTGCATTTATGCACATCGGGTAAGCGAAGCAAACATCCCCGGCATAACCAACTATTAATATAAATCGTGCTCTAGTTTACATTCCGTAAAACTATATCAATGCAGTAGTCGCATGCCCAAGAACATCATTTCGAAGAGGTCAGCCTGGAACGTTCCTTTATTTCTGCAATCTGGCTGCATTCTTATATCATCGCATTGTCCTGGATTCTACTTTCTAACATCCCAGTACAGTGGCTTGTGTCTTCTCCAGGGCCGGGTCAGGGGGGGGGGGGGGGTATTTGGACCCGCTTGAAAAAAGAACACTGGATCACTTCTGACCCGGTTTGGAATATGTGAACTGACTCATTCTATACACACGTCAAGGCAAAGCTGGTGGTGAAGTTCCAAGAACGTTTTCTTGTGATAGTGCGATAGTCATCAGCTGCAACTTATTTTGTACTAAGTTAGAGCCCAACAGGGGAAAGGAGGAGGGAGTGGGGGGGGGGGGGGGGGGGGGGAGTACACAGTGAAATGTTGTAGGCCCGGCGCTTGCGGACAGAGCACCCGGTACGCATTATTCATGTACAGTGAACTTTGCGAATAACGACATTCGGCGGGGCATCAGAAAAGTGTCCTTATTCGCGAAGTGTCCTTATACCCGAAGTCCCATTTAAATGTAAGTGAACCCATATTTTGTATAGTACGACATGCATATCAAAATGAAGCTCTTTTCATGCTCTATGCAAATGTGTACTTTATTTTCATATTACAATTGAAAGGAACTATAAAGTCAATATGGAAGGGAAATAGATTGAAAAATTTGCCTTTTGGAGCCATCAACAGGGACATGTACAATCATGTACATGTGCATGTATGGTGATTAGTGTACAATCATGTACAACTGAACACTCCAACTATTTAGAAGCAAAATAAAAATTAAAAGCACCCCCCCCCCCCCCCCTCCCTTGGCTGCATCTTCTTGCACATGTGCCTTTATCCATCGCCATGGGTTCTGGCACTTCTGCATGACAGGTACTTGAAATAGCTGTCAAAAAAACCAGAAAGTCGTTATTCAAGCAGTGAATATGACCTCAGGGCACTAAAAGCATGTCGCTATTCGCGAATTGTCGTTATTCAGATAGTCGTTGTATCCGAAGTTAAATGTATACAGTTAGATGGGACTTTGCTCTGGGCATGGAAATTCTGTTGTTATTCGCGAATTGTCGTTATATCCGCAGTCCTTATAAGCGAAGTTGACTGTAAGTCAACAAATATCCGGTGCATATTTATTTTCGGCTATTTTGGCCTAAAATGTGTTGCGGCCAACATTTTGTTTTGCAAGGTTCAATGTGACAGTGTATACAGGCAGCAGCAGAACTGGTTGAAGGTTTTAAAAATGCGGCTGAAATGTGTTTTAGCCCTGGGAGGCCGGAATTTGAACGCGCCGAAAATTTGCAGACTTACAGTAGTAGTACGTACATGAGGGAGTCGTAAAACAGTGGATTCTACATTCCTCCACTGGCTCTAGACTGTCTGAGACTGGTGGAAATCAGCTCTAGGGGCATGGGATTCCCGTGTGTCAATGGGAGTGGAGGTGTTTTCAACAAAATACTGTACATGTACATATTAGTATTCTGTACTTATTACACAGATGAGCGGCATGCTGTACTGACTATGTGCAGGTGATCTAGCGAAATGGGCTTATGTATGTTCGTACACTTCCATCTTCTTTTGTTGAAAAATCTGTTCTCTTGTTGTCGATTGTTTTCAGATACTTCATTGATCGTGGAGCCGATGTCAATGCCATCGGTGGCGTTCTAAACGCCACTCCGCTGCACTGGGCCACCAAGTAAGGATTCGTAGCTGTTTGGCTGGTTCAGGCTTTTATAGTCTAGTTGACACATCGAATATATTTTTTCTCCGTAGATGTACTATTATGGGGCTATAGTTGAAAGTCGAAAAAGTCCTCTTCCATAGAAGATGAGATTGTGGAAGTCATGTGAATGACATCATCGTGCACGCTTTGTATGGAGTTATAGACCGGTGCTTGTGATGCCACTCCATACATAACAGTGAATGCACATCTGATAACGACATCATCATTGTGTACGCTTTGTATGGAGGTATAAACCAGTGCTTGTGATGCCACTCCACACAAAACAGTGAATGCACATCTGATAATGACATCATCATATCACCTCTATAGGTACCGTCAAAGGGTAGTGTGCTCAGCCTGAAATGTTAAGTGTACGGTGAAATTTTGAGTGTACAGTGAAATTTTGAGTGTACAGTGCATCTCACACAATGACAGCATACAGAGCACTTTCATCTACTGCACGCCGAGTGAGTGCGAGCCCTGTTTTTTGATTTGGCGGTGCCCTTTTTGTCTTTGAATACATGTTTGCCTCTAGCTAGGGATGGAGCGACTATGTTGATACGTCGACTGGCCTGCTTGTAGGGTTGAGTCCATAGCAGTATCTTATCAACTGGCACATATCTTTCAATACTGTAAAACATGTAATTTTAGGTGCGTTAAAATTTTGGTGCCAGGGGCCTCACAGGTCTCAGGTGTAATGTAGAATTAGATTTCCCTGTAAAAAGGCGCTGACGCCTGTTGGGAATTCCCTAGTAAAAGAAGAATAAATAATATAAAAAAATGATATAGGTGACCAGCATTCCCTTCACCTACAGTACATACTCCAGAGCTGTTTAGGTGTAATCTAAATTTAGGTGCCTGGTTTCTCTACGGAAATCACCGAAATTAAAGTTACACCGAAGATAACGTGTTTTACAGTATACCGCCATTACCGGTACGTGTATGGTATGCCCAGATGTACCTGTACGTGTACATGCACTTGTCCTGTGAGTTCAGGCCATGTGTGGACTGCACTTGTCCTGTGAGTTCAGGCCATGTGTGGACTGCACTTGTGCTGTGAGTTCAGGCCATGTGTGGACTGCACTTGTCCTGTGAGTTCAGGCCATGTGTGTCCTGCACTTGATGTACTGTAGTGGTACACAGTCCAGTACACTGTACAAGAACGGTGCAGAAACACATAATCACTGGCAATGCTCAATCTCCGGACAGCTAGCTGGCTTGACCTGACTACAAAAAAGGGAAATAGAAATTCAGCCAGGTTTTACAAAATTAGGACAGGTATGCCATGACAAAATGTATGGAGAAGCAGATCCAAAACACAGATTTTTGAGATTTAAAGTGGGTTTTGATCCTCAGTTCGGCCCAAATCCGACTTTCAAACGCCAGCGGGACAGTTTCCGATGAATGGACTGTAGGTCTCATCAGCGGAGCTCAGAGTCACTGGCCTAACCAATCAAAGTCACAATGCTGTAACACAGCGAGCTTTGCACGTCATTTCTGGGAATGCGTTATTATTGTGCACAACCGTGAGCACTCTAGATAGAGTATTCCGAGCAGAAATTGAATGGCCCATTAGTCCATGAGTACATCATGTGTACTCGGGCAGTTTTTGTCTACCGTAAACTTCCCTAATAACGACTGCGGATGTAATAACAATTCGCGAATAACGACAGAATTTTCATGCCCAGAGTAAAGTCCCATCTAACCGTAATACATATAATGAGACTTCGGGTATACGGACACTTTGGGTATAAGGACACTTCGCGAATAAGGACACTTCGCGAATAAGGACACTTCGCGAATAAGGACACTTTTCTGATGCCCCGCCGTGTGTCGTTATACGCAAAGTTGACTGTATATCCAAAGCTTGCCTTGATCACCAGTAACTTTTTTGATCTTGAAATTTGTTTCACTGTGCTCGCTCTCTCTCCCTCTCTCTCTCTCTCTCTCTCTCTCTCTCTCTCTCTCTCTCTCTCTCTCTCTCTCTCTCTCTCTCTCTCTCCCTCTCTCTCTCTCTCTCTCTCTCTCTCTCTTTCCCTCTCTCTCAGGCGCGGTCACTTGGGTATGGTCATGCTATTGGTGAAGAATCATGCTGACATACGGCTCAAGGACGGAGAAGGTGAGGTTGTACATGCAGATTGAAACCATTAAAGTGACCCACTTGAAAGTACAGAAAACTGCATTATGCCCAGATGGCCTTGTTGTGGAATCATCGACCACCAGACCAGCGCAAGGATATAAGTTAGACTATATTAATTTAAAACTCAGATGTTGAGCCATAAATAAATGTAAAAAGGAAAAGGACATATGGTACAAGTTAAGAGTAACTCTCCATCACTATAACTGGATACAGTCGTCCCTCTCTAATCCAGCACTTTATAATCCAGCACCCTCGATAAACCAGCACAATTTTCAGTAGCCAAAAATGTCCTCTTCATGCACATTGCAGCAGTAAATCAGATGTGTTAATCCAGCACCCTTCCTAATCCAGCACAATTTCCGTGGCACAAATGGTGCCGGAATATAGAGGGACCACTGTACTATATACAGTCAGAAAGTGCAATAACTAGGCACAAAACTGACAGAGTACTGAGTACTGAGTACTGCCTTCCCCTCTTTGGTCTTTCCATAACCTTGAACCTTCCAAGTTGGAAGGCTGTCGGTTAGCGCTACGGAGATGTGTTGAAGCTAGGTGTCAGGACGTCGAATGTCTCAGTACTCTGTCAGTTTTGTGCCTAGTTATTGCACTTTCTGACTGTATATAGTATCCAGTTACAGTGATGGAGAGTTGCTCTTAACTCGTACCATATGTCCTTTTCCTTTTCACATATATTAATTTAATTCCAAAATGCACAAGAAGTTTACAGAAGAAAAGAACACGACCTCGACCAAGCCAGAAGCAAGAAGAACAGAACTACAAGATGTTGAAACACCCTTCTCCTCAAAAAGCTGCATGACGTACAACGCAAAACAACTGGCTGTACCAGCGCGTGCACCAGCGCAATCAATATCCAAAGTACGTATTAATCATTACATTACGTACAACATGCGCATGAGGGTTACTCTACTTCACCTCTCCCCCTGGTGGGATGCCAAACAAAATACCACCGCACATACTAAATAGCGCAACAAAGCAAAACTAACGGAAGCGCTAAGGGGGTGCAAGCGAACCGCGCTGACGAAGGCCATATGGGGCGAAATTGATACGGAGCAGGATTATCGGCAGGGGCTCGAAGCGGCACATAATTAGGATCACGGAGATCAAACCGAGACCCAGCATCAGGGACAGCACCCGCAGCTGGCACATCAATAACAGCAGGCACATCAACAACAGCATCTGCAGCAGGCACGTCAGCAACAGCATCTGCAGCAGGCACATCAGCAAACACCTCAGCACCAACATCAGGCTTCAGCAGTTCAACATTCACCACTTTCTCACCACCAGCACCCTCATTGCGAATTACCACAGGAGAGGGGGACACAATGTAAATTACCACCCACTCACCTCATAGGGCGGCTCACGTTTCTGGCGACGATGGGAACGACGTAGAAGAACGGCATCACCAACGGCGAACAGACAGTTATCAGCTTCAGACTCAACAAAGTCCTTGGAGGACAGCTCAGCTTCCACAAAATCACGGATCCGGGCAGCCTGGCGTTCAAGATCAGATGGAGTCAGTCCCAGCCCAGGAGTAGCCGAGAAGAGCACACCGGTGGGCTCCCAGCCAAGCATCGCACGCATAGGAGAAATCTTGAGGACAGAGTGCGGACGAATGCGGTAGAAGTACGGTAACACGTCCAGTTCAGATAGCCAATCATCAGCCTCATCCAACACCTTCCGAATTAAGGTGAGGAGAGTGCGGTTAAACCGCTCAGCAGATCCCTGCGATTGGGGATGACGCACGGCACCGTTGAGCACTGTCACACCAAACGTGTCAAACAGCGATGACATCACGACGTTGATGAATTCCGTGACATTATCACAGCGGACAACTTGGGGCGGGCCCCACCGCGTACACAGGCCAACAAATGCCTCGGCCACTGATGCCGCGTCATACTGACGGAGCGGAACCACCTCCACCCACTTGGTGAAAGTATCCATGCAGACGAGAACACAATGGTACTCTCCACTCTGATCGACCCCCAGTTCCAGAGTATCAATTACCACAACACTCCATGGGCCGTCAGCCACCACAGGGCGACTGGCCTCCGCCGAAACGCCCTTGGTTGGGCTGGCAGCAGCACACGGCAAGGCTGCTGCGGGTCCATCAATCTCTGACGCGACGCAGACATGGCCGACATCCTCACTCGCAGCTGCTCCAGCACGCCTCTTCCGCTAGGGGCACGCACTGCGGACGTGGCCTCGCTCCTTGCAACCATAGGAAACAGGTCCACCAGATGCTGGTGACTTAGCTAGCTGCGGGCAGTTCCGCTGAACATGGCCAACTGTATTACAACGGTAACACAGCACAGACCGCTTGCTAGGTCCGCTGCTACTTGACGACGTAGCTGCAAATGCCGCAGAACGTGCACCCTGTACTGGTGCAGCCGACACCTGGGTTGCAGTAATCAACACGCTGACTTGATCCGCACACTGATCCACAGTCATAGAGTGCAAGGGATGCTGGAGGCGCACCTGACATGCCAGCGCCTGCGGAATGCTGAACAGAAACTACTCCAGGAGCACTGGATGACACGACTTCCCTGACGAAGTGTCACGCACTTCCATATGCCCACTCTGGCGGAGTAACTTCCTCAAGTCGGCCAAGTAGACATCAACGCTCTCTCCCCGACGAAGAGCTCTGGCCACAAACTTCTTATACGCCTCTGTTGGCGTGATGCAGAAAGCGGCTCGGAGCGCAGCATGGACAACTTCCTCACTGGTCTGCTCGACCTCCGGCAGCGCACTCCGAACAGTGAACGCGTCCTTGTCTAGAAATAAAGGGAAATGGTCCCTTCTTTTGGCCTCCGACGTCCATTTCTGTATCCGTGATACCACGTGGAATTTCAGCAAGAACGCCTCCAGGTCGTCATCTCCTCCATGATACGGCCGCAACAAGGACTGTCCAGCAGACGACGCCATTAAACAGGCAGTAAAATAACAAAATTAATAAAACTCCGAGAACCTAACCAAAGCGCCAACGGTCCACTCGAAACCGGGTTTCGGTACCACGTTGTGGAATCATCCACCACCAGACCAGCGCAAGGATATAAGTTAGACTATATTAATTTAATTTCAAAATGCACAAGAAGTTTACAGAAGAAAAGAACACGACCTCGACCAGGCCAGAAGCAAGAAGAACAGAACTACAAGATGTTGAAACACCCTTCTCCTCAAAAAGCTGCATCACGTACAACACAAAACAACTGGCTGCACCAGCGCGTGCACCAGCGCAATCAATATCCAAAGTACGTATTAATCATTACATTACGTACAACATGCGCAAGAGGGTTACTCTACTTCAGCCTCGTATCTCAATTGCTTGTATAGAGCTGGTTCCATGCTGAAAATAGCTTTGTTTTGAAAACGAGTCGTGACCGCTACCTTGCACACTCTTCGGGGTTACTGTGCACTCTTTGTGAAGTGTGTAGCTCATGAGATAATCATGTGAGGTATATTATGTACCCACCAGTAATCAACTTTACAGCCTGCATATTGGATGGACAAAGAAGATTCCCGTTCCCAAGATGCCGCAAAGCAGTGCGGTGAACATCCAGTCTGCATGCACACGATGGCTGTACCTGGTTATGATCCCAGGATTGGGTTCTATGTGCTGGAGCTTGAACTCCTGAAGCACAATTGTACCCCGCATTATATTTCGTATGAGAGGGTAAGAAAACCGGCCGTGGGTTGACATTTCTAGGAATCACAGTCGTGAAGTGCTGTATGATATTCTGGGTTGATTTGCCGGTGGTAGGTATTTACATATGAAGTACTTACGGACATAGCCAACTCGTTTTCTCTCTCTCTCTCTCTCTCTCTCTCATTTCTAGGTCTATGCGCATTGCATCAGGCTAGTCAATGTGGCCATTGGACTATCTGTGCGTATCTCACTGCATCTGGGCAGGTAAGCACATTCCGTCCTATCTGCTTTCTGCTCTTGTTTTTGCATTGTCCTGTTTCAGAGCTGCGTGCATGATCTACTTGATCTGCTTGTGGCCATGTGTCATAAATGTTATTTATGGGTTATTGTCCACTTTGTGGTGGGTCGGACCTACTCACCTCGCACCGCTTTAGGAGCTGCATGTGCGCCTTGATCCGTGAGGGTGGTAGCGTTCCTACGGATGCAGAAAACTCAGTCTGACTGGGCCTCACACGAATCGTGATTTTGTTTGTTTCCTGAAGTTTATGATTTCCTGTGCCTGTGTCCCAGCTATTCCACAAAAGTGCATTTTGAGTGAAATCTCAGACTCTCTCAGTTGATACCTGAGTGACTCAGTGGTACCGGTATATCTAATTTTACCAGGTGGTTGCTGAAGCAATATAGTTGCTTGACCCGGTTTCACCTGTAATCTTGTGGGTAAACAATGTTAGTTCGAAGCTTTGTGACTTTTTAGTGCGTGAGTCCCAAAGACCTGATATGGGGAGCGAATGTTTTTTTTTAATTACTTTTTCAGATGTGTCACTGTGGAAGCCCAGTGAAAATGTATGTTGTTTGCCTGTTTTGCAGGATGTGGACGAGCGAGATGATAATGGCATGACGCCCTTGATGTGGGCGTGCTATAACTCCTTCAGGTACATTTGTGTGTGTGGTGTGTGTGTGTGTGTGTGTTTGTGCGCGCGCATGTACGTGTGTGTGTGTGGGGGGGGGGGGGGGGGTGCATATGTTTGTGGTGCCAAGTATGCTCTTGTATAAAGTTGTAAACATGGAATGATTTTTTCTGAATCCGTGTGATCGTAGTTTATTATGTACTTATATGACATGTTTCTTCGCATTCCACTCCTTGATATTACCGGATGATGGCCCTGAAGGGCGCTGAGCATGGCATGGATCATTTGCTCATCACTGAGGGCAAGTTTATTTCGATATTTTCATTGCACTTCTTTTTTGTCCTTTATTTTGTACGTCACAGTCAAAACCCAACACAGTTCTTCATTGCAAACAACGCCATGCTCTCTTCAGTGGACAGTCGACAAGGAAACACACGTGAGTTCATACGAATTATGACTTTTGCCAAGAGTACATGAGGACCAGAGTGTGCAGCTATTGCTTGGATGGGTTGCTGTCACGGCGAGATTCCGTGATCACATCATTTTAGTGGTGTAGTGCGTACAAGCAGGATTCAAGCAGGTCTCTTTCTGCACAACTGCAGCTCAGTTGTACGCAATGCGCCACTTCCCGCCTCAGATCTGCACCAAATACGTATGATGTAATCACGGAATTCCGCCGTGACAGACACCCATAGTAGAAAACGCCCTAAGCTGCACACTCTGGTTTTCATATACTCTTGCTGTTGGCCAATGCAATTCTGCCTGGTACTGAGGCTGATGAGCATGCAGTCACTCACTATGGCTCTGAGTAGTTCCCGTATCATAATAATTCATGAGTTTGAGGGAAAGGTGCAAGCGGGAAAAGTCTGAAGAAAAAAGTTAACTGTCACCACCAGGACTCGAACCAGGGACTTAATATTATACAGTACAAAAGACCAGGTTGTTGTGTCCAAACATTCACCAGACGAGCATGGGTGGAAGAGAAGTGAAGGAGGCCGCGACAGACAGAGACCGAGAGAGGGAGAGAGTCTTGATTTACCAACGTGTTGTTTAATTGGTAGCGGGAATGCACGCGCGCGTGTGTGTGTGTGTGTGCGTGCACGCGCGTGTGTGTGCGTGCATGCGTGTGTGTGTGTGTGCGTGCATGCGTGTGTGTGTGCATGAATGTACAGGCACGGGGGGGGGGGGGTATGAGTCGTAGGTGTGTGCACGGGGCTATAACTGTTCATAGGGCATGGCTTGGTGATAGTGTCTGCGTGTAGGTAGTGATGATAGCACCCACGGCATAGGCGGTACTACAGTATCAAAGTGGGTGTTTTCAGTAGACCCCCTACCATGGTCTGTGAATCAGTTTTGCGACAAATGGGTCTGTGGCCTGTATTGTGTTTTCTGCTACAGCTTTGCACTTTGCAGTAATAGCGGGCAACAATGTAGTCATTCCCAAGCTGTTGAAGGCTGGTGCACGGCTGGATGTCACCAATGCCGCGGTAAGCCACTGATGTGTGTGTGTGTGTGTGTGTGTGTGTGTGTGTGTGTGTGTGTGTGTGTGTGTGTGTGTGTGTGTGTGTGTGTGTGTGTGTGCGTGTCTCTCCTCTTTCTGTCTGCTTTATCTTGTCTACCCATCCTTCCAACTCTTTCTCTCTCTCTTTCTCGCTGACTAATGCTCTCCTTCTCTCTCCCTTGTACAGTCTCTGACACACAGCTATTCACTTAGTAGTATAATCATACATGTAGCTGCCAACGCCGTTCACTGCCTACAGTGGAGATGGATATAACCACCTTGTATGTAATGACAGGTTGGGCTGCTGCCTGAATCCCGTAGCAAGTACCTTCCGAAAATCGGCTGTTGGGACAGATCGTATATGACAGTTACTTACCACCAGTGACGTGTTTTCATCTGGAGTACATGTATTGTTGTTACAGTTTACCCATTCGCCACTGTGCTTCCGGTTATCTATTCACTGGCACAGTACAGTTATATCTATGTTGAGTGATCATCCTATGTTGCATGCAAGACTGGCCTTTGGCCTTCGTCAACAGACATATTCTGGTGCCTGAGTTGATTGCTCTCTACATAAGACAGCTGGTCTCATGTTGAACTGGGCCTGCTAAGTTGCAAATTCCCATTTTTTCTGTACGCTTAGCCCTTGACTTGATCTCTGCTGAGGGCTGCTGTGGACGGTGATACAGTAAAACCTGTAACACTTGACAGGTCTGAGGACCCCAGGCACATGAGTCGTGCTAGAGTATGTGTGTGCAGTGTGATACACTGATCAAAATGATATACCACATGTATTATGAAGTGGATATGGTCACGTGACCTACTGAACCTGGATAAGAAGACCACCTGGCCAAGGCGACCACTTTTTCTCGTCCCTTGAGCGGTCGCCTTAGACAGGTTTCACTGTAATGTGTGTTGTCTTCAGGGTCAAACCCCGCTGCAGTGTGCTCGCCAACAGCAGTCATCACGTCTTACCATACAACACCTGGAGACGGCCGGCCGTGCACGCAACAATCTTATAGACAGGTGTTTCCGCTCCATGCGACTCAACCCGGTGAGTACACTTCCACGGCCGTGTTTGGTTGTAATAGAATAGAGTGTGCCGACAGGGCGGGGGCGGGCTATGTTTATCCTATCTTGGATCCTGTCAAAAAGCGGTGTTGCAGCAGGAGGAGCAGACCTCCTTCATGGGTTAGAGCTTTGTCATAGGTCCCCTCAACAACCCGGTGAGTACACTTCCACGGCCGTGTTTTGGTTGTAATAGAATGGAGTGTGCCGACAAAGGGGGGGGGGGGGGCTATGTTTATCCTATATTGGATCCTGTCAAAAAGGGGTGTTGCAGCAGTAGGCCCAGACCTCCTTCATGGGTTAGAGCTTTGTCACAGGTCCCCTCAACAACCCGGTGGGTACATTTTCATGGTCGTGTATTGTTGTAATGGAATGAAGTGTGCCGACAAGAGGGGCACTACATGTATGTTTATCCTGTCTTGGATTCCGTCTTGGAAAAAGGGGTGTTGCAGCAGTAGGCCCAGACCTCCTTTATGGGTTAGGGGCTTAGAGCTGTATCCTAGGTCCCCTCGACAACCCACTCTGTACTCTGGGGGCAGATCAAAGTTATCTTTTAAATGTACATGTACCGGTAGCTCATTCACTTGTGCTGTGAGTTAGTTGAAGGCATGCTTGAATCATGTCCACCGTGGCTAATACTTAGCAACAACAATTCTTGTGTGTTATCCCTGACAGATCCGTGCACGTGAGGCGGTGCGCTCGTCTCTGCCCGGCATTTGTCTGGCTGGTTTTGGCTATACGGCGGGCGTGATCAGTGGGTGGCTGGCGATGTTTGCCGCTTGGATTGCCATCTCCTTTACGCTCAGCTATATCTCTGTGTAAGTGTTAGGATAGGTGCAGGCTTGCTAGTTGTACACTTTTCGGGGCCAGGGAAGTGCCATGTGCGGACCTACCTTGTTTATCAAGAATGGTCTGGGACCAAGCACCAGATCTCCTCCTGACTGTTGTGAATCCTTCTTTAAAAGGATTCACACCAGTCAGAATATTATTTTATCATTCAAGAAAATCGATTCCGGTAGATTATAATACTATCGTATTTTGAACAATGATGATGATGATGATGTATGCGGCCTTCATTCCCTTCGTAGCCCTACTTTCATCATGGGGTAACAAAATTAGTATGATTTTTTCGTCTTTCACAAGGCTTCGGATAGTACACCCTCGTCCATCACACAAAACTTTGACAGTAGACTTTCTCAATGCGAATGAGCTGAATAAAATAAGGGTTGTTAGATTCCACATGCAGCTCTGCATAATCTGTACAATCGTGGTCAAAACACGGCGAATAGCACACGCTCTCTCCAGCTGCAAACAATGTGAATGTACTGCTTGCGTTTATCTTGTGTTCACTCTGCCGTGCAGTCATATGACGAGTAAAGACCCCGGCTTTCGCGAGACCACACCGTACGGCCTGTTCCTGAGCGTCATGGTCCTAATGTACTTCACCTGGTTTGGTCTCTTCTGGCCTTATATCCTCCTCTTCACGTGTGTCTCTCTCACTGGCTAGTCTGCAGCACATTCTCTGTGTAGCGTACTGCCCTGCTCGATGAAATCCGGTCTCGTGAATAAGCTGGTGCCGGGATTTGGGCTTCCCTAGTGCTGCGCACACTGAGTTGATGTACATGTACGGCGTTACTGGCGTTTTGTTTGACCGGATTTCATTGGGCACAGCCGTGGCTGTGAGCTGTGTTATGCACGTGTGTGGGCGGGTGTGGTTGTGTGTGGGTGTGAAGTAGGGATTCACTGGCCAGAAAAATTCACTTCGAATAGCTGTGCGGTGTAGACCAGGCTGAATTGCTCATCTTGCTTGCAATATGTGGATATGAGAGTGACTGGCCCGGAGTAGGTTCTGTGAAAATGTGCCATCTACAAGTACGCATTGTTTTCGAAGGAGTTCTGTTATTGAGGAACATTGCTGGCAGTGTCTTGCCATTCTACACAACGCGTATTGTGATGCATTTCACAGACTCTGTGTGCATGTGCTGGTCTGTCGACATACATGATACTCTACGACTCTAGGCCTCATTTTCTCTGTGCTGCGCTGATGAGTCCACAAAGGACGAAACAGTTCTGTCCGCAGGTCCAGTACTCTAGGACATCGTGTCATGTTTTCTCTATGTGACCTTGCTGCTGTTTCCCTTGACTGGCTCTATCTGGCCGTGCACATGTGAATAGTTACACTATCATGATACCATTCTTCATCAATACCATAGCTTTATGGTACTACACGTACAAATCCGTATACAGTGATCCAGGATTCGTCAAACAAGACCGCAAATCCAGAGCCAAGGTGAGAATAGCTATTTTAGGAACGCTATCAGGCCTCGTAACCTGCCACAAAAACTTGAATTTGGATGCCCTATAAACTGTGATCATTTCTGTTCTCCTTGTTCTTGCCTGACTATAGTGGCTTCCTTCTAATTGATTGCAACTGTGCTTGAAGTGTCTTCTTTGCTCTTTTTGTCTGGTTCTTGTGTATAGGCTATTATTGAGTTTGCAGAGCAAGGACAACTTGAGCAGGGTTCCTTACTGTGTCAGACGTGTATGGTAAGTCTACTCTGTGTGTGTGCACAGTCAACTTTGCGTATAACGACACTCGGCGGGGCATCAAGAAAGTGTCCTTATTCGCGAAGTGTCCGTATACCCGAAGTCTCATTATATAATATTACAGTTAGATGGGACTTTGCTCTGGGCATGGAAATTCTGTCGTTGTTCGCGAATTGTCGTTATATCCGCAATCGTTATTAGCGAAGTTGACTTGTTTTTTGTTTTTTTGGGGGGGGGGGGCTGTGTGTTGGATGATTGTATTCCCTGGGAGCTCACTGAATCACATAGTGTAACTGTGAATGAAGTCCAATCCATCTGATCCTAAAGCTATGCCTTCTGAATGCAAAACACACTGCTCCGCAGGGCCTACAACCTGCTGAGAACAGATGAGTGGTTTTACCCTGCGCATCAGAGATTGGCCATGCGATTAGTGGGCGACTCACAGCCCTAGCCAGGCCTGCATTCCCCATTCTTGCCACATTCAAACTGCAGAGTTCTGCAAAGTGACACAACGCTGTGATGCTTGCGCATGTGTGTGCATTGCTGTGTGTATGTGTGCGTGCACGCGTATGTGTGTTTGCACACATGCCCACGTGTGTGTGCATGCATGCATGTATGTGCATGTGTATAGGTGAAGCGACCACTGCGTAGCAAGCACTGTTCTATGTGTGACCGATGTGTTGGTTGCATGGACCATCACTGTCCCTGGGTAAACAACTGTATTGGTAAGTCATGGGTTAGTCACTGATGTACACTATGTACTGCACTCTGACATTACCCTCGCGTCACTAGTTGGGCTGCACTGCAATATTGTAATTTCACAAATTTTCGTTGTTCTTTTATTTTCCGTACTTGCGGTGCATCTCTTTCATACATAAACTTTTGAGCACCTAAAAGTTCTGAATTTTATAATACAGTGCTTTGTTGACTTCTACAATGTCATGTTCTGGGGGGGGGGGGGGGGGAGAGATTACGTAGTGTACTGTCGGGCGCCGAAGAACTGGGGAGTCGGGGTTCTAGCGTAGCCCGTTCATTTTTAGCGAACCCAGCCGGTTCATTGTTATTCAATGGTACAGTCTTACCTTACATGTACATTTATGCAGAGTTATACGTCTGAGTGTACATTACGGTTATCTACGGAAAATCCAGCCTAGACCGTTCTTCAAAATTGGTGAAATTCTAGCCTGGCCGGTCCTCGGCTCCCGGCAGTACCGTAGTGCAACAGTCTCCTCTGATTAGATGTGTCATGGTGGCCGTACGTATGTAATAGCTGTGCCTGTGTGTGTGTGCCC